ATCGTGCGGCAGCTGTACCACCCCAACAATTCTACCCCGGCCGGACAGCCGTGCAGTCGACTGCAGGGATTGAATCACCGCCTTGACTACCCGCAGATCCGGCTTCCACCGCTTTTTTAGCCCATCGACCGGTTTCCCAGTCTGTCAATCCTGCCTCCTGCTCCACCTCCCAAGCATGAATGAAAAGTCGCCTTATCTTTTTACCTATCGCAACTGCGAGCTCGCTGAGTGCCTATTGCCAGAGCGGGCATATCAGAAGAATGTGTCGCACTGTCTATGTTCCCTGTCCACACTCGCACTGTCTAGACTCCTCTTACTGTAGGTGGACAAGGAGCGACCCGAGGAAGCTATGGTTAGTTCTACATTGGATAAGGATAGCTGCACTCTCTGAATTCAGGTTGTTGTATAGCCGCAGTGTGTGTTACTCCGGGAGCGCCCCGTCCAGCTTGCGCGTGTATCTCCCCCATGGGCTAGATTTTGCCGCTGCTTCCTTTCGTTCCAGGTGCAGTCTTTGCCTTACCAGTATCTCAATGGTTTCCCTTGCCCGTCGTCTATCGCGCTTATCGATTGTCGGCCGCAGGCCTGGCATCGTGTCTTTTGGGTAGCTGAGTGTGCTGCCTCGTGTCCTGCGAGTCCGCTGTAGGTTGGCACCCACACAAATTTGACCGCCGCTCCTTTAAATTGTGTCCTGACGATAAGCTCGCATGCTCTATTGACTAGATATTGCCCTGAAAAGGCTAGCATAGGATGTCTCTAGACGTTGGAATGCCTTTTTGCTATCCGTAACCACCCAGAAAGTGCGCAATATGCGACCTAGGATTGGCACATATGTCTGCCGCGGACTTTGAATTGACCATTCCAGTGCGAATACTACAGCTTGTAGTTCCGCCATCGGTGCGGATATACTCTGAGTCCGTTCCATTGTCCCTTTCTGATGGGTTTGAAGCCCTTAGTTTTGGTCGGGGGAACTGCAGCTGCGCCGCAGAGCCCGTGTCTGCATGACCCGTTGATAAAGACAGTATCAGCGGACGGTAGGGTCTGCGCCTGGGCAATGGCACTATCCCTGTTGAATACGACGATTTCTGGCATGATACTCTGTTCCTACGGTGGGCAAACCCGTGGTACAATGGTTTCCATGGGGGGCTGCTATTTCAGGAGCGATGAGGTCTCCGTAGTGATCCCAAGTCTTTCTCAATGGAGAGGGGTATACTTGTCCTTGATTAGGGAAGTGCTTGATGCAGTCTGTTACTGGATTGTCTGGTGGAAATGTGTACAGCCTTGTCAAGTGTTTTGACACTTTTGCCCGTAGGCGAAGGTCGACCGTCGCCAGGCATGCCTCTCCCTCGGCGACTGGTAGGGCTACCGTGCGAAAAGCGCATGTGATAGCCTGTGCGCCCAGATGCTGGACTCTCTCCAGGTGCCGTACCAGTTTTCCCACTCTCATCCTCGAATTCGCCATTCTTTGGTAGAAACCGGATGATTGCCTTGACTACTGCACAGTCCGGCTTCCACTTGTCCCTGGAGCCGTCCACTAGTTTCCAGTACGCCGGCCCTCTCAGCCATTCGATTAACTTAACGAAAGGAAATGTCTCTCCACCCCTCACCAACTTCCGGCACCGACTACCGCCTGAGTCTTGTCATTTTGCACACGCTAGTGGCACATGTTTGACTGTCTTCTGTCTTGTACCGCACACACACTCACCGGATTCCTCACGACTTGGCCTGTAGAAGTACGGCTTGAGCAGAGTGGTTCGAGCGGCATTGGATTAGGATTGCGGCCTGCTCCGCGTCAGTGCAATGCACAGGCTGATGGCGTGTGTGACCGGTGCTGCGCCATTAGTTCCCCCGTTTACCCCTCATATCTCTTTAGACTCTCCACTTCACTCTTCTCCTCCCAGACCCTCGCTAGCAGGGTACAAGTTACCGTCTTAGCCAACCGTTGCCGTTCGCCTGGTTCTCTGCCTGGCCTCTGGAATAGCTAAACCGCCTTCTTTGCTATCTTGTCTGCTGCTTCGTCTCCTTCAGCCCAGAATGGGCTGGCACCCAGACGAACCAGGGTAAGTCCTTGCGTGGCAGTCTCTTCCACTACCTTATAGATCTCTCACACTAGGTCCTTCTTGCTGTCCTGTTGCCTAGGCCGTGTGCGTGCGGCTGGAGAAACGTCGGATTCTGCCATCGAAAGAGCAGCTTTCAATTAACTTACATCGGCTTCGAGTCAGAGGTGTACATAGCCACCTTATTTTGTTGCTCACGTGATGCATCCAGCTCCTGTACCACAGGAGCAGCGGTCAGTGAAAACCAACCAACCCCAACCCAGCGCCTCCTGAGGAACTACCCCGTCATAACCCGATCGGCCGCGCGGAATCACTGCCAACTAAATTTTTGCACACTCCTCCGGTACTCCAAGACCTTGCAATGTCTATGAGCGAAGATGATAGAAGCGGACACGCGACCGTTAGCGCATCGCAGGGACGCCCCGCCTATCAGGCTTTCCACCACGGCAAGCCAACCACCATATATCTGTCTCGCGCGTCAATCAGAGCCCAGCTACTGGAGAAAGCAACTTGGAACAATGTCGTCGGCCTGCTGGGCGTTATCGCCAAGCCGGAAAGGTCCTCGCCGAATAGAATCAGACCCTGGTGTGGCAAGGCCCCACGACTCATGACAAGATTGGACTGCTTTTGAACGCGCTAGATATGTTTGAAAAAAGGCAGACGAAGATGAGAGGGCGTGTTAGAAAGACGAATAAGCAGGTAGCGGCTCTCCAGGCCGGCGCATAGAACACTGAGCTTACAGCTATGGACTAATGCCATATACATAAACGTGCTCTGAAGAGCTCCGCCGGCACCTAGAAATACAAGTAACCCGATAGGTGCAACCAAAGCGTGCTTCTCTTTCGAAGGGAAGAGGAGTGACAGTTCATCCAGTCAAACCTTTAACGGCTAGAGGTAGCCTTACTGTGGCGAGGGCCTTGAACGGGAAAATCTTAGCAAATTTCTCTCAATAAAAATCATGAGGCTGCATAGTCAAAAGGTCAGGCTAAGGATGGCTTCGCGCTTACTACCTCTAGATATTTTTCCTTTTCTCTTGTATTTCTCACCAGGTGAATAAATACTCACACTAATTGTCACTTCTCAATGGTTGAGCTTTGATTATAGTGCGAATTTCTATAGTAAACACTAATCGTTAGTGAGCAGAACAACCAAAAAAAAAACCTATCGGGACTGGTCCCAATTTTGAGGTTCGTGTGACCGAATTCCATCACATTGTTTCAAATGGATGTTACAATTCGTGCTTGATTGGTCGAATCAGTGGTGGGGTTATTAAGCAGACGGCGGCGCTGCCACATGTATCTATGCTAGGGATCGTCAGTTCACGTGATGCACTCAGCTCCTGCACCACAGGAGGAAGGGTCACTGCGAACCAGCCAACCACGACCGAGCGCTTCCGAGATACTGTCTCGCAATAGATGGATTACCACAAACTGGATCTTTCAACACCACTTCGACTTTCCTGACATTACAGTATCAGCTGGCGAAGATAGCGGGCGGATACGCGATCGTTGGCGCGCCGCGACGCGCTGCGCGTCTTAGGAATACCCTAACTATTACACTCTCCGCGGCGGCAAGCCGACCGTTCGACACTGGTCTCACGAGTCAGTTGTAGCCACTATAGAGAAGAAGCCGCTTGGACGGATCTTATCGACCTGCTGTGTCTCATCTCTGCGCACAGCGTCTAGTCCAGCCAGAACACGGCAAAGTCCGAGAGCTCCTCCTGGCCCCGCATACGAATGTGTGTAGAAGCATGCGACAATATTGCAATAAATCGTTCATAATATGTTCTCAGAAAGTTCGGCGGTGGCAAGCTGCGCCCTTGTGTCTCCGCCTTCAATCAGATTCGCAAGCTGCATGTAAGCAAAGACCACTTTGGGTATCGGGGGCAGTTTCGGACGGAAGCGCCCAATTGCAAGGATCTCATGCACGGTCGGAAGGCACTGCGGCAAGCACAGTCTGATTTTCTTTTTTTCACCGAATGCATGAGGCAGCACTAATCTCCTATTCATTTTTAATGTCTAGTTATGCGGTGGATTTGAAACAGCGCGTTGGGTTGAGCATACATTTTGGGCGATGATTCAGTTTCTGAAATTGACCGCACGACTGTCCTGTCGGGGTAGAACTGGATATCTCCAGAGAAGAAATCGTAACCTGCATAGACCGACCGATCCACTCCAGCCCATAAATCCTATATACAGCTCTGCGCTACTGCCACCGCCAAGTCTTCTAACCATGCCCTTAGAACACGAGTCAGATCGGCCAGCGCACGGAGGCTGCTCAGAAGCTTATAAATGCCCAGCAGACTCTCGGTGTCTCCGAGCGGGCGGCCGTCAACCATAACGATGTGGCCCTCGTCATCCATCATGATAAAGTACAAATGCCAATGGACACCAGCAACGAGGACCAGCGGGAGAGTTGGAAGTCGATGCCGGCCCGTCACGGGTCCACCGCTGCTTTGAACATTATCATCGCCGCCGACCCCACCCTTGTGCCATACACTTCCCTCGCCCACATCATCCTGTTGTGTTGTTGTTGGCCCGCTCACGTCTCCCCCTTCCCTCCAGGACGGGAGTGCCGGCGCAGCAGCCCTTCTGAGGCGATCAAGGCGCGCCAAATGCGCAGCGCCCCATACGGCTAGTTGGGCCTTGGCCTCACTTTGGTTACCGTCCGGGGTCTTTGTCTCGATGCTTATCGAAATGGGTGAGTAGCGGAGCGGGGGGTACGTGGTTTGGTTTATAGACTGGGGCGCGATAGCGGTAAGTGAATGTAGAGCCGCCGCTTCAGCGTCGAGTAGGGGCACCAATGTGTTATCGGTGAAAGCGGGGGTGGGGGCGATAGAGATGGCGTAGTCGACCATTTTGCTTTCGATGGCGTTGCCTAGGCTGTGCAGGTTGTGTCGAGGGACGAGGTGGCGGGGATGAATTCGTGCAGCCGTGCTGTCCATAGTTAGCCCGCGTCGTTAATAGATAAGGAGGGTTGGCAGTACACGTTACTCCATATGATCCCATCAGTTTCGCGCAGTGCAAGCCTAAGAACTACGCTGTGTACTGCATCGTTCCATGCAGCCTCTGAGTGCGCCGAGCCATTGTGACGCGCCGAATCACGATGCAGCTCGAGGATGTCGAGGAACTCGCGGACTAGGTAGAGCTCGGAGCGGGCATCCTGGGCGGCCGGAGCGTAGTTGCGTTCGCGGAAGCGCTCGCGGACGCGTCGCGGCAAAGTCTGAATGTGCGGGCGGACTCTGTCAGGTACGACTCCGTCACCCTGCTCGATGTCGGCTAGTCGCGAACACAAAGCGTCGATATCGTCGCCTAACTCGATGTCGTCGGCCTCGTCTGCGGGAATGTAGCGAAAGCCGTTCTCAAACGTCAGATCGGCGATGCCCTTAACGGGACTCACTGAGCGTTTGGACCGCGCTGACGAGCCTGCAACTGATGAGCTCTCGCGTGATAGAGATTCCGAATGTAGGAAGTGCTTCGGAGGCGCGGCTAGAGCCGAGGCGTAGGCCGTGTTGTCGAAGAAATCGAGCGAGAGGGGCGGAGGGGCTGACTCGCGACTGGTATTGCGGGCAGCCTTGCGCGGCGATCGGCGGGCCGCGCGCGGTGTCCGGTCGGTATCAGCCGAAGGCTTTGTCGGTGAGGGTGGCCGAGGCATTGGGACGGCGGTGTTGGCGGCAAGCGGTTCCAGCGGGCGACGGCGTTTCACGGGCGGGCTCGAGGGTACGGTAGAGCGGGCGCGTCGTCGCGGGCTGATGCAGCCGGCTGAGGGAGGGCTGAGAACGACGTCGTGGAGCCAGGCCTCGATGGCAAGGACGCGCGACATGGTTTAGGGTGGTAGGAGCAGATTTTGTTGGCGTGAGGCGGCGAGCTCGTAGGTTGTTAGTTGGGTTGTTTGTCGCACCGCTGCCACAGTAACGAACATGACTCACGGCACCGCCAACACCCCGAACACATGATTCGCCAAGACACACACACTCCCGCTTCTGATGACGATGCGGGCTGGCGAGAAGATGGAGGGATGATACATAGTATCTTCAGTGCGGGATCGACACTTAACGTGGGCAGGCTTGTAGATCGAGGCTGTAAGGACTGGATGCTAATGCAGGTGCAAGTAAGGCCGAGCAAGTCCGGCGGGCTCAGCGGCTAGAGGCGCAGAACCTCCGAACACGGGGTGCGGGTAAGGCTAGCTCGAAAAGGCAAACTGTAGATAATAACACTTCTCCGACGAGGTGCAAACTTCAAGCAGAAGGAAAATATTGCGGAAACGAGCACGTAAACATGAATTTGTTGCAATTTGCATAGACCTACCACAAGCGCAAGCAGTAGGCAACGGCAACAGCCTTCCACAAGCACATGCAGCATTTCCTCATGACCGCTAGCGGCAGAGTGTAGGAGCGGATGGAACATGAGCCCAATCGTTGGCTGATCAATGCCTTGGTGCCTGATTTAGTTAAGTTCTCTATTTGCCTCGTTATAATGTGAATGTCTATAGCGAACGCCGTTCATGAGTTAGAAGAACAACGAAAAAAAATCGATCATCGGCTTCGCGGACTGGTTCCCATTTGGAGGCTTGCGTGGCCGACTTCCATCAAGAGGTACTGACCTGAAGACCTATACTTTCTTGTAAAGAGCCCTGTTTCGTATTTCCTTCAATTTCATTGGTTGTTATCTCCACGTGTTTCCCTGATACAGAGGCGAATATCTCACGCTTAACAATGACCGATTTTCCTATGACCTGCTCTACCAAACGTTTGTGATGGGGCTTGAGCTTTCGTTGGTCGAATAAATGATGAATAAATGTATTGATTTTTGCTTCAATCTGCTCGGTGTTGAACCCAAAGTCGTCTCGGAATGAGTGATTAAGCTAACGTACTTATTCAATAACAAACTGATGGAAAATGAGCTCAATCACCTCCGTTGTTTGTTATTGGATAAGTTTATTAACTTAGTCACTCATTCTGAGACGACTTTGAGTTCAACACCAAGTAGATTGAAACAACAAGCAATACACTCAATTCATCAATGATTCGACCGATCAAGCGCGAATTCAATCAACAAGTATGCGATCTTGCAATATGGGAAAACCAGAGGAAGCGCCGTCGGAAAGCGCGGCATGGATACAGACCAAAATTCTGACCAGAGCTCGGAAGACAATGCTACAGAGTCAGAGGTGACCTTCGACAAGGAAATCCTGGAGCGACAACTATTTCTCATCAGGGATATAGAAAACCAAATGCGGACTCGAATAGCCAGGGTTCGCGAGAAGTATGCCAGTCCGAACCTTTACGTAGGGGTGCTCAAAATGCATGAGCCGAGGTTGAAATGTTTGAGCTGACATAGGTGGTGAGACAGACAAATTCACTTGTGGTTGGGTAGGAACAGTGAGCGCACCGCTCCGGCGATAAGAGGAAGTTGATGTCCTAACTTGCGAGTAGGGAATGAATTTACAGGTGCTACTGAAGCGTGAAGCAAGGTTCACCGCTTGAGCTTCCGATATGAGACTAGTAGTATTTCTTAGATATTCTGAGTGCATGTACAAACAGATGATGATGATGATGATTCATACACCTCATCGGCCTTAGCAGACCATAGGGACAACGAACGCTATCCACGCTAAGCTACATTGGGATCCCGGTTCATTCGAGGCCCAGCACGCTGTACACAAAGAAAAATCCTTCTTTCCCATCCGACGAACCAAAGCGCAGATGCAAACGAGTACAGGTAAGAATTTTAAGCAACATGCAGGAAAAGTAAGAAAAGAAAAGTAAAATAGAGTCAACCTCCATACATCATTCATGCCACCCCCTTCGAGATCATCTCTCGAGTGCTGTCAGTCCCTGTAGCGGCGTGACGGCTGGTTGGAGAAGGGATTGATTTGCTTAGAGAAGGACTGAGCTCTCAGTCTTTGGTTGCGGTCAGTCTTCCGGTAGCCAGAGCAAACGCTGCTGTCGCATGTACAAACAGCCGGCTGCCTGCTCCTGCGGCGCAGGAGCTGGGTGGAACAATCACGTGACTATGAAATCACTTTTCCATATCGAGATGTACATTTCTGATGTGAAATAATAATCTCAGACTAGTTTTCGCGCTGATGCAAAAACTAGCAGCACTTAGAATAGCAGTCTTGATACAGTCAATATCGACATGATAACGGGTGAGCTGTCGGCCGCATCGTGTGCTGACTTTGAAGGGAAAGGTAGATTGACTGGCCTGCAGCCAAGTATGGTTTAGGCTTGGGGCTGAAGCGGACGAGAACGTTTGAAGATTGCAGTGTGAAAGAACGAAGGAAAGAAGTCAGTGGTGGGGTGACGGGGATACCCCGCGCTCTTATCTGTTGGTGTGCGCCGTACCCCGCTTCCGAGCTAACACCATCTGTTCACTTAAAAACCCTGGACAGGAAGTGTCTTGTCAATATCTGCGTTAATTTTTCTACAATCCGCACATTCGTGAACCGCACCAGAACCCCCCCTCTCAAAATCTTTCTTTGTATCATACAACTGCTGGTATATTGTTCCCGCTTCTAAACAATGCGATATACTCATAGCGTGTAGGCCAAACAATGTCGAAAAGGCTACAAGCGAAATGAAGAAGGTGAGCCAGCGTGGATGGAATACGTCCAGAACCTTCCCTGTGTCCGCATACTCGCCTCCCGGTCGTAATCACCCGAGCCAGAACCTAAAAGAGTCCGGAATAGCTTCTCTGCCACGATGCTTGCGATGAGACACATCAATGCTTTCGAAGACGGCTGCTATGCTGCAATATCATACAGATGGGCCAAATCAGAGTGGAAAGACGGAGCAGTAGGCGGCTACCAGTGCACGACTGTTGGTAGAGACTGTCCGGAAATCTGTCCTGTTCGGGATGAGATAATTGATCGCGCGATCAGCCTCTGTCGCTATAAGAAGTGTAATCTCTTCTAGATTGACCAACTTTGTGTCGATCAACAAAACGAGTCGAGGAAGCAGACTACCGTTCTGGCAATGCATCAAGTCTACCGTCGGAGCAAATTTCCTCTCGCAATGCTCTCAATTCCCATCAATGACGGTGATGACCTGAAGCTTCTCTCCCTGATTCTCCGTGAAGGTATATCGTATAAAGAAAAGATTCTACAACACAGGGCTTTCAAGCTCATCGAGAGGCTCGTTTCCGATCCCTGGTGGAAAAGCGCCTGGACACATCACGAGAATCATCTATCTTCTAACAATCTTAGCCTACTGATACCTCACAACCCCCAGCTCAACGAATTGAAAGCCGACATCAACCATAGACCGGACGGATACCACTTTGGAGATTTACCAAATGAGCTCTGTATGAACTCAGCCGACTTTCGGACGGCACTTTCAACCTTTTGCTTGGAATACCGAGCGTCCCTAAACCTTGGAGGCGATGACTGGAATGCTTGCCAAGACGTTCTCCAGACGGCTCCTAAGATACATGCCCCAGTCGACTCTATTCGCCCGAGTCGACTCCACATGGGTCTTTCCTGTTCTGTATAAGCCTTCCCGTAGCCTCTCTGCCTTGTCCGCCTCATCGGAATTCTGCCATGTCTTCGTTGGGAGGATAGATAGACAACATCCCGTAGTTAAACCTTATTTTATCGCGACGCGTACGCGTTCCAGCCGGGGCAGGAAAAACAGCTCGGACGTGTTAATTAAGGTACTTTCTTCCATTCATTTCCCACTCTATCTTCTCGCAGCCAGCGCAGACAGTACTAGACCTCTTTTAACCCACCTTGCCTACCCGCCCAAAAGAAACATGACCCAATCGAATAAATGCTTCTCCTACTGCCTGGAATACCGCTTGCTCGTTTGCAAAAGAGCTGCAAGTATGCCGTCTGCCTCAACCAGGTCCGGGCTCATGTACGGGGCAAGCATCATGAATTGTGCCCAAAAGAGACCGCTGCGGCCTTAGCAGACGTACAGCAGAAATGGGCGGATCCGATCAAAGACGCCTACGAGCTAGTAGTTTCAAGATACGTGAATCATCCTATCGCCGATTTGCCGCTATACAAGGACGGTATACTGTGCTTGCACCTGTGCCCTCGGCCCCTCGTGGCCAACTCAAAGTTCTAATCCAAATTCTTGTTTTAGAGATAACCGGCTCACTGTGCATCGCACAGTCACGTGATACTCCCTTATCCAAATCACTGTCATCCCTCTTTTCTCTCCTTAAGGTAAACCCTATGGCTTAACCAACCTATTAATCGAGTCCAAAGCTTAGTGGAATAAGCCTACCGTTATAATTAGTAAATTGAATTGGACACTGCTGAAGAGTGTAATACAGCAGTGAAACTACCTGTTTATTTACAGCAATACTTGTAGTGATGCAAGGATGAAGAACACGTGAGCTACGTGATTGTGGTGAAGATAAACAAGGATTCTGCCTTGTTGTTGACAATCGGCAATACACATGAGGTCTGACACAAACTTATCTAATAACAAGAAACGGGAGTGATTGAACTCGTTTTCGACCATTATTTTCTCTTGAACCTAATATCTGATGACGTAGACCTCGAACTAATCTTTCAAAATTTTTACCACTGCCTCGTGTCCATTCCTTACTGCCGAAAAAGGTGGCAATTGGCCGTATCTATCCTCGCGTCAACGTATAGACGGCTATTTTTAGTGTTGGGAAAGGATTGATAATTCAGTGGTTTCATAATACTGTTGGCAACATGGTGTTTAGACAGTAATGTAAGAGAAAGAGATATGTAATTAGTGTCAGTAATAAAGATTTGCAATTTATCCTGTTACTAGATAATATTTCTCAATTACAACTTATAGCATCATGCAAAAAACTTCTTTCTACTGAAAAAAAAAAGGGGGG